CATATGTTGTTGACCACGCCAAAAAAGTGGTCCAGCAGAATACTGATGCTCTGAGGTTTTTCAGAAGGTTTCTGGAAAACCTTAAGCCAATGTTCAGCTCACATTCACCTTTTTCGTCTTCGATTATGCTTTATGAGCTTGACTGAGCGTTTGCTGAAAATTTCCTTGAGTCAGCATGAGATTTGATCGCGATATAAGGATTTTAATTTTTGTTAGTAACAGGCGAAAAACCGGTTTTTCACAACAATGCCTCTGACGAAGTTATATTCATTTCTACACAAAAACAAATGTTGCCACTATGCTCAGCGTAGTCGATTACCTATATTCCATGGCATTTTGAGATTCCCAGAGATGTCTGCTCGGACTACATTTAAGCACGATTAACACTACCCAGATCGAGCGGTACGGCAGTTGTACGCGTACGTCACGTACACTTGACGTTCATCACGGTTGGTACGTGTAACGGAAGTGTACGCACGGTGCGCGTACGGAGCGTGACATGATTTTCTCTCTCTCTACATTGTAGTTTCATAGTAACATGTTTATCTAATATCTATGATAAACCTCTAAAACGGCACATGGTGTGCATTGTACGCATGACATGCATTTTGTACAGTAAATACGCATGACGCACACGTACGTCACGTGCACGTTGTGTATAGAGCGTGACGTGCGCGTACGACGGGCGTACGGTCCGATCTGGGTAATCATGATTACGCTATTCATCTTTTAATCATGCATAAAGCTAACCATGATTAGCGAATTAATCATGATTAAGGTTGCGGTCACACTACGAATTAATCACGATTAGCTTAATCGTGATTAAGGCTGTAGTGTGGCCGTAGTGAATAACGTTCTTTGGTGAATGCGTCTGAGAACCTGCAAATACGCAGAAAGAATGTTCAAATGAAAAATATTGGTGACTAAGCACACGATTGCCGCTAGCTTCGTACTTTAAACGCGTTTTGAGACAGGTTTCTTAACTGACTCAACTCAGTTTGATAATAATTGTACTCAGTTGCATAGAATACTGAGAAAAACAACTGCCTTATTAACCCTCTGTTCCGCAAGCATAGACGAAAATGCTATTTTTACCACCACTATAGTGGTGCTTGCGGAACAGAGGGTTAAACGGATGTTTTTATAGAACACAAAAATAAAAACCATTAATTACAGACGAGCTATTAATATAAATTTTACAACCTAGGAGACCAAAATGAAAGCGGAAGTTTTCCCGAACCCATCTTGGGGAATACATTTTTTTCTCTTTTGCCATAGTTTATTATGTATAATGACATGTACATCAACTAGCGAGTGATATCATAATCCCCATGCCCTGAGGTATTCAACTTCGAATCTATAAACATTACTGTATTCTGCTGTTGAGGCTTTGTCCCTCAGGGCCTTTTGGTCCTTTTTGTTCTTTTTGCCCCTTATGAGGTATTTCGCTGGGGAGACATTGTTCCTTATGTCTTTTTTGTCCTTTTCTTCCGTTATGAAGTATTCTGCTGTGAAGTCATTGTCCTTTTGGTCCCTTTTGAAGTATTTTGCGGTTGAGACATTGTCCCTTATGAGGTGTTTTGCGGTTGTGATATTGATGCACCGACATTTCCGCGAAGACTTGTTTACTGGAAAAGAAGAATAAATGAGCTTGGTTTGGTATTGTATAGCATATTTTCAAACTTTAGTGAGGTTGTGTGGTGAACAGTCATTCTGTGATACAGTTACAGATATCCAGCTTCACATCATGAAAATATGTTTTGTGTGAAACTACTTTTCGAGCTCACTGTCACACTGCCCACACCTCCACCTCCCGTGGCATACTGCCAAAAATACCCAAATGTGTACTATGAAAAGTTTGTGGAAGAGTCGGTCGTGATCCTGTTCGCGGAAATGTTGTGTCATGGATTCTGCACTGCTACAAAAATCCTGATTGTGTACAAACCAATGCTGTTAAATAGTGAGCTTGTGTACCGAAGAGAAAACCGGTCAGACACGATAAGCCATGAAACTGGATAACTGTACCTGTATCACATAATGACTATTAACCACATAACTTCACTCAAGTTTGAAAACAAGATATACAAAACCAGGCTCATTTATTCTTCCTTTCAAATAAACAAGTCTTCGTGGAAATGTCGTGTCACGGAGATACTGTCCGCTATATCCTTTGTGAGGTATTTTGCTGTTGAGACCGTGTCCGGTATGTCCCTGATGGGGTATTTTGCTCCGTAAAGTATTTTCTCTGCGGCATAGTGGGAAAAAGTAAGCAACGCAATCCGAATGCCGCGCTCTCCAGTCGCTTCTTGCTGAACACTATACGTGGATGTTATGAGATTGATGCAAAATAAAAGTCGTGTTCGATATGATCTATAGAGGTATGAATTTGATTTTACCTATAGCTTTCGTCTTTGTTCTGTGTGGATCTTTCCATAATTCGAGTTATTGTTTTTTAGGAATGGCATGTGTGAGATGTTGCCTACGTACTCACTCTCATTTCCACCGCACCTCTCCCGCCCCAAGGCGTGTTCATGGAGTATTGTCTGTAGTCCTTTTCTTTCGTTATTCTAGTATTACTAGAATACTACTATTACTAGAATATCTCTTAAAGAGATATTCTAGAAGTATTCAGCTTTACAAAACCTTTCTTACAGGTTACAAGGTTTATAATCAAAGGACAAAAGGCACAATGCCTGAACAGCAAAACACCTCATAAGGGAGAAAAAGGACATTAGGGATAATACATCCAAAGGAGAATATCTCATATTTCTATGTTCGAAGTATGAATACCTCAGAGTATGGGGATTATGACATCTTTGCAATCAGCAATGGCCATAGGACCAGCTAAAGTCGAAGCATTTTCAACGGGACCGTTTTAGATATTGCCCGGTTAGATACCAGCTGTACATCGGGCTCCTCTGTTTAAAGCTCTAAGTGACTATACAGAAGACTCCTGACAACTCTGTTTTACTCTAAAATAAAAAGATGATCTAAAAGAAGTGTATTACTCGTTGAAATCGTGTTTCTTATATACATGCTTTACTGCAAAATAAAACGGTGAATAACAATAACCATTTAATCGCTTAAAATCAACAATTAATCGCAATTAATTTGCGATTTTTCAAGAATCGCGATTCATTAGAAAATTTGGTGCTTGCTTTATAAAAATAAAATTTAGGCAAAAACCACATTGATTATGTCGACGCCAAAAAAGAAGTGAAGATGTAACTATCCGCTGTCGGATTTAACTATCCGCTGTCGGATTTACCGATAAATTTTGTATTTGGCACCCAATTTTTATCCAATTTGGTTCAGCGCGGAGCAAGCACCAAATTTTCTAATGAATTGTTAAAAATGCCACGATTTCGTCGACATGGGTAGTGTTACCGTGAATTCATGTTATTCTTAAATTGTTTTGAATTCTCCTAGAACACTGCCGTCATTATTCTTTAGCTTATGTTGTCCAATGTTTTCAGAAGCATTTTTCTTCGAATGACTATTGTATGTCGCTCCTTACAGTTTTAAAAAAAGTTACTATATAAGAAGGTAGTGCACTATGGTTACTTTTCATCCAATCACTGCTCGAGTGATGCATCATCGAACAGTCAAAAATAATTTCAGATCACAGAACAGTTAAATAAAAATGCGTTTTTAAACGGATCGCGAATTTTTTCTTATTAGTTAATCTAACAAAATAAATAAATGGAACAGTAAAATATTACTACTGTTAGTCTAGCTTATATTATCTACAATTTTTTATGGGTGGATCTTTTTCACAAATACGGGAATCTCGCACGAAACGCGAATCTTTACACGAAGCAATACGTCGTAAAGATGTTAAAAAAGTAAAACAAATTATTTACAGTAACGATCTTGATGTCAAAAATGATTTTAAATCGTTGGAATTAGCAACATTATATAATCTTACAGAAATTGTTGAATTGTTATTAAATCGTGGGTGCATTCCGAGCGATAAACGCACAGCAAGAGCATTCGACTTAGGTAATAATTGAATCTGTATCATACATGCGGTTCCTTAGTCACTGCAACTTTTAGGATAGGCCGGTTTATATAGGCCGATGAAACAAATTTGCATTCATCTTCAGCACTTATGATAAGAAAAATGTTTTTGAAATACTCTAAAATATTATTGATCTTTATAGCGGTGTGGAAATGTCACAAAGATATTGCAACAATGTTTTTGAAAGCGGGTATTGAATACAAGGGTCGTAATCAATACAACGAAACAATTCTATATGTTGCGGCATGTGGAAATAATTCGACATTAACTGAAATTTTGATTGAAGGTGGCTGTGATTTGAATGAATGTACTCGATCATGGTGAGAAAAAAAGTTTATTAACAAAAACATTTATTTTTTTAATATTTTATTTTTTTTCTAAAGGACCGCGTTACATGTTGCTGCTGCTAGAAATCATGATGATGTATTACGTGTATTGGTCAAACATGGCTGTGATCTAAATATCCGAGATCGTGATGGGTTTAATGCATTAATGCTAGCAGTTTTAAATGAGAATTTAAAAAATATTAAATTACTGGTTTTATGTGGTTGTTCAATAAAATTAGATGAACTATATTCGGTAAATAATTAAAACAATCTTTATTAAATAATTCTCTTAGGAAAAAAACAATTGATTTTATTTTTTAGACACCTTGTTTAGCTAAACAGTTAATGAAATATCCAGAAATTGAACGAATTTTATGGCAAGAGGTATCACGTGTTAAAGATTTGAAAGAGTTGTGTCGACAAAAAATGAGAAATGCATTAAGTCAACGATTATGGCGAAAAGTAAATTTTTTAAATTTACCAAAAACATTAAAAGATTATGTAGCATTAAAAGATTTGTTCATGTCATTTGAACAACAACAACCGTCAGTTTTACGTTCACCAACAACTGAAATTCAAAAATTGGAAGAATGATTATTGTATATTTCTCTTCTCTACTCCTTGCATTCTCAATTTTATATTAATCTTTTTTGACCATCTAGGTCTTGTAGAAGCTTGGTCACCGTGTTTATTTGCAAGATACAAAAGTGTATTTTGCCTTCTTAATTAGTACTTCTATTTTATTATTTTTCTCTAGTAAAAATGAGTCGCGTATTGCTTTATTTACTTTTTTCATGTTTATGTTCGAGAGTAGTTGGTGTTTTTTTTGGTAAAAAACGCAATATGAGTCTTATAATAAAGATTTATTTCTAGTAGTGAGTTTTGAACTTTGGATGTTGTTTTCTTTTTTGTACTATAACGCACTTTATTCAGCATTAAATATTATTGTTCAGATTCTATATAATTGTTTTTCTTAATATTTGTTTTCTTGATCTTTTTTTTAAAATATTTTTTAACTTGACTATGACATTTTCCATCTATTCATATTGAAAAACTCTTTTGATAGTCGGTTTTTGTTAAATAGTTGAGAACGTTATTGGAAAATTGTCCCCTATCAACATCTGTTCAAAATTGCTGCTGACTATTTCTTTTTCTCAACATTAAGATATTAGAAGTTTATGATGTAAGATTGTCTTGTGCTGTAAGTTAGATTTGTGAATCTAGTCAATATGTATTTTCTTTTGTCATAGAAACAGTGTATAATTTATTTTGTTTCTATTTAAATAAAATAAAATTTATTTTTCGTGAATGTTACTTTTTTTTGTTTTATTATTTTCTGAAATAATTTATTTATTGTTTTGTTGTTGATGTTGTTTCATTTTAACCTATTTTTTATTTTGATCACAAATTGTAGTACTTACTTCTATGGTTCATTTGTCATTTATTCCAAGAAATGTTGATTTATTTCGTTGTCATATTATTTCAGATCGAGGAATGTATCTATTTGTTTTGTTCTTTTTTCTTGCTTTATAAAAAAATTTGCAGTTTCTATTGAACAAAAAAATAAAATTTTCTTTTTCCTTGAACAATAAATTTATTTTGATCAATAAATAATATGAAGTTTAGTAATTGGACGTTTTAAAATTTTATAAACTAAATCCGAAGTATACTATACGGTAAATAAATGATAAGATACGGAGAAATTTTAGCTTGTTGTTACAAATATTGTCAGAAATCAGAGAAAACTACGATTGATTTTTACTATCCCTATCGTTGAATGAAGTGGGTGAGTAAATGAATATATTTTTCTAATCAATTATTTACTTAATTTATTTAGCTTATAAAAAATATAGATTTTTACCATGGTTTTGAAGATGTATATAATTGAAATGTAAGACGAAACACTTTCCCAGAGGTATATCAAAAGTTTAGCTCTATTTTCACACAACTACCCTGTTCGGTTTGTTGTTTGTATTTTGTGAAGTAGACTGTGTTCCTTCATATCTCTACAGTGAAGTTATTCAGTCATTTATGAAATACAGTTTTATACAATAAAAGATGAAAGCCTTCGGAAATTGTTGATATTACTGATTAGCACACTTTATACAACAGAGTACAAAGTGTGAAAAGTCTCGTTGTGTTCATCGATCTGCCATCTAATTTAAAATCAGAGCTTTAGATTAACACCTACTTCTTATTTACGTCAGAATTTTAGTTTCATTTTGTGAAATGTACAATTTTTAGAATAAAATGAGAAATGTATTTTTGTGTCATTTGTTTAGTAGAATAGCACATCATATAAATAGAGATTGAATCTATTGAATTGTAGATGTCTCGTCGTTCGTCTTCTTCTGCATCTCTATCGAGTGTTGCAACGTCTTCCACAGTATCAAAGAAAACAACTACGATGAGTGATATCGGACATATCAATCAAAGACAACTACAGGTTATAAGAAGGTTCGCTTTTGATTGCGAATGAACAATTTAGGTTATCACTGATAGAAATTGTTTTCTTCTTAACAGAAACTACAAGCAGAAAATACTTCTCTTCGACAAGAACTTGCTGCTCTAAGGTTTGTATATATATGTATATACCAGAGACCGAAATGAATCAAATAATTCGATATTCGATTCTATTCGGTTCGACTTTTAAGTGAATCGAATTTGATTTAAATTGAATCGAACTAGACAGTTTCGTTAAAGAGCATGGTTTTTTGTTCATAAATATAAAGACCTTTTACTGTCTTTTTCATTCGGTTCGATATAAGTCGAATCGAACCGATTCAGCTTTTGAAAGCGTTTTTTCGGATCGCATCGAATCATATTTTCTTGATTCATTGTGGGCTGTGGTATATATGTATATAATAAAACGTAGGTTAGAGTCCAAATATTAATTTAGACAAATATTGACGTTACCAACATCATTAAACGATGAATTTGATCAAAAACGTTATATACAGTTACGTAATCAAATATACACGTTGGAAAAACAAGTGTGTTTAATGACAAAATTATTAGATTCAAAACGTCAGGCGGTTGTTACATGTGAAACTATTCTTATTGAACTAGGTGAATTTCTTAGGTAAAAGAAATCTTTCGTTTCTATTATAAAAGAAACAATAAAGTTTTTGGTTTTAGAAATTTACTTTCGAATGAACGAACGATGAAAGGTTATATACTCGTTAATGAGACAGATTTACAAATGTGGTGTGAAAAAGTAGAAAATAGTCAAAAGAAATCGTTCAAGTCCTTACAGGTAACACACTCTCTTCCTTCATACTGTCATATTATTTTCGCTCAATTGCGTTCTTCCATTTTTTTTCTAGGATCATGTGAATATGGATGATACACTCTACGCTTCGACAGCCTTTTCACGCACCGAAAACATACATCTACTAGATGTTTGTTCTGGAAAAATTGATCACTTGAATTTGAAAGAAATCGTATGTAAACGAAGGTATATACCAGTATGATTACAATAATGATCTTTTATTATAGGCACTATTAGAATCATCATTATTGAGTTTGCATTCAAATCTTCAACAGTTTTCGATAGAGTTAGAACAACAACAACGACAATCTTTGAGTAATGATGATAATCTATCATTATTTCTGTTTCCTGATTTGAATGAACGCACATATTTAAATGTAAAGAAATTATCACAAGAGATGACCAATGTTTCCAATCAATTATTTGATCTTTCACTATTGATTCCTGCTCGTCCTCCAACTTTATCAGTAAGTTACAAAACATCAACAAATAAACTTATCATTGTGATTTATTTCGTCGGCTCTTTTTGTTAGAAATCGCCGTGCATTATATCGAGTGAAATAACAACGGATGTTATATGGAAACGTTTGGCATCATACAAATTTTCACCAAATATAAAAATAATACTAAAATCGATATTTGATTCATTAATAGCTGCATTCAATCATAAATATTCAGGTTTACAATTAAAAACTGAAACAAAAGAGAAAGAATTAGAGTTCTATCGTCATATAACAAAAATACATTACACTCATGTTCAAACAGTACTGAAAGTGATCACGTGTGGACAAATGTACTTTAATGAACAGCTCAAAAATACTCTCTATGAACCATTGAATAATATTATGAATGAATATCACAAAATGAGTAAACAGCCAACAGAGAATTGTTTAAGAACATTTTTATTCACATTTAAAATACATGTTGATCAAGTAAGATCTAATGTTCTCTATGATCTAATTTGTCTCTCTATTATGTATCCAATAATAATCACAACTCTAGATAATTCAATTGTATCTTCTTTTTTAGTTTGAAGAAACACTTCATGATTTAGAGGAATTAGTCAAGAATGGTGTTAAAGCAAGCGAACAATTATTCATTGAAACAAACGATACAATGATCACAGAAATTAAACGTAGTCAACAAAATTTATTGAAAGAATTTCATCGCTTGAATGAAAAACAAGCAAAGATATCGATGGCTTCTGAAAAATCTCTTGACGATTTATTTGATACACTCAATATCTCATCAAACTTTCCATTAAGTCATGATGAGAAGTAACAATAAATAAAATACTAAAAGAATAATCTATTCCTTTTTACGTGCTCATCTCATGAGAATGAATTGCGTCCATTTTTTAAGCTTTTTTGTACTCAGATCATCTCTATTTTGATATTCTAATATGAATTTAGTCTTCAAGAATGTAAACATTTTTCAATACTCTTTATTTTATTTTCAGTGGTAAGCTAACGTCCAAAACCTATCTGTGTTACGAATCCAATTAGTTTCATTTGATAAAAACCATTAATTCTTATCTGTAAATAAAAAATTAAGCGCCTACTTTTTCGAAATTCTGTCAATTAAAACAAGTGAATAGATTTGTGTAATCAGGAACAAAATTTCTTTTGTTAATGCGAAAATGTATCATCTTCTGATATTATTTCCGTTTGTTAAACAATGTGATTGGATATATCTTTTATCTCAAAGAAGAAAATTGTCATGATTTTAGTAGATAAAAAACAAAAAGATATGTGATTTAATTCAAAATAACTTTTTGTTTGCATTAGAATTTTCTATGGATCTCATTGTTGTTGTATATGATTCATTCAAAATTTTTTAATTATTTATTTCAAGGAAAGGGATAAGAAAGTAAAGTGCAGATTTTATAATACAATAGTATTAACATTTTAACTAATAGTTTTTCAATCTTACTTAGTATTATATATATATCAACAAAACTCCTAGATCATTTCAAATTAAATTACTGTTATTTTTGAACTATACTTCTTTCTCATTTTTGATCAAATTTTCGGACTTCAATTATCTATTGCATTAAAAATAAATTGTGCTTGAAAAGACCGACAATATAGATAGCCATTCTCATCTTTTTTATCAAAAAAGACCAATTCAGATTTTGAAAACTGAAATATTAAGTGAAAAAGTGTTGTCATACAAAAACGTAGAAAAGAAATGATAACTTTTATTACAAAAAAATACAAGATTGACTTGTTGAAAAAAACCAAATAACAATTTTCCTAAATGGATGTATTATAAATTCTACTTTTTTAATTATAGCTAAAACACATACGTACGAACAAAACGAAAAGTATATTGTATCGAACAGTTAGTAGAAAAAATAACGCTAAGCTAATGGAACAGCCTGATGGAGCGAGTTCATTCATGGTTCTTACACTATCTTTTTCCACTGTAGATCGGCTAGTTGCGATATTGACTAGAATAAATGAAAAGTGGCAGCGTAGAGCAAGTTTTTCACACAAAATAATGGGTGTTCTATAAAAAATAGCACTGATTGTATTTTTCGCTTTTCTCTACCGTCAATTTTGATAGTTGAGATTTGAACTTTTTTTCCAAAAGATAGCCCATTCAATTCTCTACAAAGTCATATGAAAAGAGCTACTGTAGTATGCAATCGTGAAATCATATGCTGTCAACACTGACATGCCTGCGAAAAGGTACGTTTTCAAACTTACTATTGCGTTTTGTGAATATTACGCCGCTATTTGACTGAATATGCCATTTTGTAGCCCTAGAAAAGCTGTATAAGGCGAGTCGTAGTTGAAACATTCTGACGCTTAAACTAGCATGACGATCCCCGTTCTTTTTCTTCTACCTTTTTGGACTTTTCGAATTTACTGCTGCACTGGTTCGCAACCACGATTTAGTTGGATCAAAACGTAATTCTTATGGTCTCTTTTATCAATTTGAAGGAAAATGCTTCTTCTATCACCCTGAAACGGCCAAACAGGTGTAGAGTAAAATTTCTACAATAGAGAGAATGAAACCTTCATTTAATCCACGAAAGTTTTTAAGGAAAATGGACATTAGCTAGCTCATGATCTTCATGATCTAATTTCGATCGACTTGTTCTGAGCGCTATGAGGAAGAACAGTCGAAAACAGAAAAACGTACACCACAGTGACTTGGCGACTTCCTGGCCAGACGGGGTATGATAATTAATTTGAGAGAAAAGGGCATTTGTAACGGTTGTCTTCAGGTGCATACTAGTGTTGACTGCATAGGATTTCAGGATTGTATATTACAGTAGCTCTTTTCATATGACTTTGTAGAGAATTGAATGGGCTATCTTTTGGGGAAAAGTTCAAATCTCAACTATCAAAATTGGTAGGGAAAAGCGAAAATACAAACAGTGTTATTCTTATGGAACACCCATTATATTTTATTACCGTCAGTTTTTAGTACTGTAATGTTTTGCATCATTGATAAACGTGTAGAATTTCGAATATCTTTTACAGCTTCAACATGTTTGAATATACTATAGATATTTAATGTATTCAATCCAGTACAAGCCTTTAGTTAACCAGATTTTTTTCTAAAAAAATGTGGACCAACATCAGCATACAAGCCGATGACAGATCGAGACCACGAGACTTGGTCATCTTTGATAATCATTTCTGGTTCAACACTGAAAAAATGCTTACAAAAAAAGCAGACTAAGTTAAGTGAATTTGAAATGAAAATGTCACAGAAGAGCATCACGGTCAGCTTTGGTCGTTTTTAGAAAGCGCTTCACCGGTTGCCATAGTTCGATATCAGCCATTTTATTGGCCGGTGTGCAAGGAATTTCGTTGATGTCGAAAAGTGCGCGGCGATGCCTTTTCAAATTTAACCCCACCATCACTCGATAAATTGACACTTTCATGCTCTCTACTGCGCATTGAAGAACATGTTAAATTGCTGGGAGTTTATTTGACACACGACCTGAACTGGAAACATCATATATGTAAAGTGAGCACAAAATGCAGGCAAATGTTGGAAATGATGAGTCGAGCTTTTGGGACTGCGTCGTCTTCATTGCGGCTACACATCTAGATATCTAGATGTGTTAATTGTGACGTTGGCGCCGTCGTACACGAAGTTTCTTTTTCAAGTTTTACCCCGCCGCCGCTTTTCTCAAAACTTTTTCAAAAATCTTTGAAAAAGAATCATTGAAAATTAGAACTTTTCTGTGCTATTAACTAGAGTAATTTGCAAAAAACAGAAATACACATTATATTGATATTTACCTCTAAAATGTATTATATAGAACATTGATGGATGAACGCTGTTCCGTTCTTCTTGCGTCTCCTTTTACTACCATTCTATAGCCCACGTCTTTGCCTCACCAGTATGGTGGTCAGTCGTTGTGAAAGTTACTTTACGCCGTGAACTAAACAGTAGATATGATTTAGTTAAAAAGTTGAAGTTACCAGATCTCGCAATGAGGAGAAAATACTTTAGACTCTTCCACATGCATAAAATCATGACAGGAAAAAGCACGTTGTCCCGGAAAGAATAAGTAACAAGTGTCTTTGAGAAATTTCATCATTTTCTTTAAAAACTCTTCAATCATCATTCATTCCAAAAATCATTGCTAACTGGAATAGACTGCCTAGATAAGTAATAGTGGTGTTTGCCTTAAAATGTTTTAAGTGAGCTTTGACGAACTATGATCTGTCATCTTATGTATTTATCTGTTGAAACAGTTGTGTTTGTAATATCAAATGCGTATCAATAGTTTCATTCTTTTTCTCTCATTTGCCATATACTCATTTCTTTTTGTTCATCATGTTTTAGTATTCATTTTTATTTGTTTATTGTTTTTTTTTAGTGTTATTGGAGCTAAGCGAGATGCTTTTAATATCTTTGCTATTCGCGAAAATAAATTGAATTTGGTTCTGACAATATATAATACAAACTGAAAGTTAATGTTTTTGAACATACTCTGGCTGCTTGTTAGTAACTGCTTTACTATTATTACATGGAGTAATAATAACATAAATGTAAATGTAGTATGTTTGAACAAAAAGTATTTAGAAAAACTGACAGCATACTTGACATCAGATAAGAGTAACAATCTTTGGATGATTCACTCGCATACCGCGTGTAAGGTGTTTTTGTGCTATAAAATTATCGTAATGAATTTGCAAACATTCAACATCCTGTTCTGTTAAATGCGTTTTACTTTTATGCGTTCATAGATATCTGTCTGCAATTAAGAAGAAGAATATTCAATTCTGATTCATCTTATAATACACAACTGTATAAAACTATATTAGAAGAAAAAGAGATACAAAATTGTTTTGGAGATTAGTTTTAATAAAGGTAAAAATAACACACATTATTCTATTTATAATATAGAATCACTTCAATCTTTTTGCAAATTTTTTATTCATTTCTAAACTTTTGTTTGATAATATCCAACGTATTTGTTCAGCACTCATACCAGATGCCGTCCAGTCTCGGTCACGCGGATAGGTATCACGAATTTCATTTGATATCAAATATTTCATATCACTATAAAATTTCGTCCAATATGCGACATCAACAGATGAATTTTCACCACTACTAAATGAATCAGAAAATTGTTTGCGTAACGCTTCACCTAAATCTCGACCAGTTTTCGATTTATCTATTGGCCATTGTTTAAATAAACGTATTAAATCAAAATACAATTGCGACACGTTTTTCTGCGCCATATGAGCACTTCTAGAAACATACAAAAATAAGTGAATAGAAAGGTCAATAATGCTTAATAAAAACATAAGATGAATAAGTGTGATCAGTCAAGAATAAATTTGTTTAAAAAATCCGTATTTTGCTGCGTACTACATTAACAACATGAGACAGAATCCGGTAATCTTTTTTAAAGCAAAACATTGACAACAAAACGAGAAGATATCATGATTAGAATAGACTTTGAACTAAACTAAAGACACATTCTCGCTCAAACATGCTATTTCAAAATTCTGTTTCGAAGTAAAAGTGCTTACACAGTATCAAAAAACGAAAGAAGCTTAAAAACGGACGCTTTCTCTTAAATGAGCAATCTCTGCTTATATTGTATCCAGTCGTACTCATTGCTACCAAACTATGTGAGGTATTTGTACCGTTCAGATTCCAATAAGTGTATCACCTAAGGAAATGAATAGCCTGACCTATAACATGTACAATGTGTTTTTTTGCCATTGATCCTCAAATACTACAACTCAATGATTCCACCTGTATAATCGGAAAAGTTGTTCCGTTTTCATACTCTTTTGACTGCTGTACTTTCGCATTTAATTTCACCATTGTAGTCTGGTATATCATACAATGGTATGGATAGAGATAGAGCAAAAAGCATTTTTGTACTTTTTTCATTTTAAGGTAAAGAAGTTAACTGAATAAAATTCAAACAGAGAGAACAAATGAGATTTCATTTCTTAGTTTTATTTTGTTATAATTTTTCAGAATTCCGAGATATTTATTATTCTACATTATCGAAGACGATTCTACAAACTTATTCATTTAAAATATGCTATTTTTTTTTTCGATATAATAACATATCATAATCTTATAACTACCTGCTCTGATCGATTCATGCTAGATGGTAGCACTACAACTAGTATGATTGTATCCTAAGCAAAAAAGTGCGCTTGTTCTTTTATTTTTTTGTCTCAATCAGTACCTTTTTCTTAACAACTTTTTCATTGGTTTAATTGTGTGCAAACTGTAACTTCCGTTAGATGTCAGCTTTTTTGCATAACTCAGAGATCTTGTTTTATATTTTATAATCTATTACTATCCAGGACTAAAGTGAAAGAAAATAAAAAGATAGTAGAGTATTCACTTGTGTATTACTCATGCTGATTTGCTAAGGTTCTGGAACTCAGTATAAAATATGGATTCACAGTGACACTTTTCAGGTCACGTCAAGTCAAATACAGTACAACGATTGTATGTGGGTGACCTTGGAAAGGTTTGCAGTTTGTTATAAAGTGAGATGTGAAATGAGTAGAAATGTTTAAAAATTATTAGAAGGATGCAGTTAGTAATAATACAAGAGGCTTGCGTAGATCTTAGACTTCTGAGGACTATGAGCAGGTCCATCGTCATGAATTTTCGGCTTCAGAATGTTTTTTTTTGTCAATTTCTTTCCATAAACTCCTCTTATTGATGATAGGGATGTTAGTTTAGGTAGGAAGATATTTATTATTGAGAAATTGTCGATGGACAATATAGGAAAAAAGGGACAAATGCCTGAAATTAAAGCATTATGATCTATTCTTCAAAAGCCAAGATAGATCATTGAACAACTATTTACTGGCTTTATAAGAAAATGACTCTGCTCAAAAATTCAATGCCGTGTTTCCACTTCGGAAATCTGATTTTCACTGTTTTTATCTGGAACAATGATAGTAAATCGAGGAAACATATTTTGCTTAAAAATCTCATAAAAAATACTGCACCGCAGCCCATCTGTGGAGAATAAGCATGCTCTTCATTCATTATGCAAAGGGTCGTCTGTCCAAAACAGAAATAATCTCTTTCCGAAGCGCATGAACTTTCTTACAGAATTGATGAACTATCAATATAACGTGAACTCTCACTGTTGTTGTAATCGTTGTTCTGAATCGTCAAGTTAACTTCGCGTCTTTCGTCTTCTAAATACAATAATACATCCACTGCTCACCAAAAAATCTTTTCTTATTGTACCGTTTACCCAAACCGTGCTACAGCACGTGTGTCACTGTGAGAAGCGCTCTGAATTTGAAAATGAATTTAGTTTTTATTTTATAACACAATATCTATGTTGATTAATTTATGTAAAGTTGTTGATCTATTCTGATTCGTTTCTCAAGCTAATATTTCATTTTAGATCTTAAATCTTGCTTCCGTTTTGTTGGCTGTTTCATCTAATGCCAAAACGATTGTATAGTACAAATGATCGTGATGAAGATGCTGATCCTAACTTCGTATCAAATAAGCGATCTCGTCGATTAGAACGTGAAACGGTAAATAGCCTAAAATATGCCTATGATAAAACAAATATTATTATGATTAATATTATTGCTTATTTATTTACAGAATGAAATTTGCCAAGGACTATATGATGCTCTGCGATCATACAAGAATGAAGATGGACGAATTATTTGCGAAAGTTTTATCCGTTTACCAAGTAAACGGTACGTTACCTTTCTCTTTCGAAAAGAGGGCTCTTTCTCAAACATATTTTGTCTCTTTCTTTAGAACACATGCAGAATATTATACCGTTGTAAAGCAACCAATCGATTTATTGAGAATACAACAAAAAATTCGCACTGACGAATATAGAAACCTATCTCAATTTAGCGAAGATATACAGTTATTAGTGACTAATTCAAAATCCTATTATAAAGTACGATTGTGTTATGCTTGGCTGTTTTCTTTGTCTAAATGTTCGATGCGTTTAGAAAAATTCAACAGAATGGCGGGATGCTGTTGATCTATGGAATTATTACAATACAAAAAAATCAGAAGCAGTTGGTCTTATTTCACATGATGCAGAACATAGCAATGACAGTATACATAAGAGACGACAGTCATTACGAAAGGTAATAGTTTTCGTGAAAAAAAACACATTTTAAAGACTAATGAACATCATTAATACTAAATATATTTTTTGCAGCCATTTGACAGTGATAATATGGAAAATGATAATGACTCTGAAAGTAAAGCAAGTGATTCAACAATAAATGAAGATACATCAGATCAACAAATTCATACAAATTTATCTGCTCCAACATCTGGTCGAAGAAGACGAAGAAAATTAGTGGAACAAGAAAATTCTTTAGTCAATGGTGAAATTACAGCTGCTAAATCAGATGATAGTAATTCAGTTGAACAATCACAACAACAAAACATCGATCCGTACTATCTTGAAGAATTTTTCACAGCTATTTATAATGCAAAAGTAGATGACCGACCCATGTCTGATATATTTTTATTTGTACCATCACGTAAAGTAAGATTAAAACATTTTTGTCACATTTGATAATACAAGTTATTCTTTATTTGTTTAGTTGTATCCCGATTATTATGAAATAATAAAAGAACCAATTGATTTAAAAATGATAGCAAAAAAAATTCAGTTAAAGGAATACATATCATTAGAAAATATGGAAAATGACCTTTTATTAATGGTTTCTAACGCAAAAAAATATAATGATCCAAAATCTCAAATATACAAAGTAAACATTCTTCATTTATCTTTAGAAGTGTCTAACAATCAATATTTGTTTTGTAGGACGCATGTTCACTTAAAAAAACGATTATAAATGTTCGAAATGAACTAGATACGGCAAGAAAGACTTCAAAATCATCAAATGATCGATTAAGGTTTATAGATAAATAATCGATATGTACATTATATTTTATTATTGTTATTTTTATTTTAGACCCCGAGAACGTGATGAATTATTATCAGCTGAAGTCCACCAATTAGAATATCCTCTCGATGAAGATGTAGTAATAACCTATTCTAACGACGATGTTGATTCTGGTACGAAAAGAAAATTTTGTTATAATTAATTGCATATAGAATATTTTTGGTGGTTGTTGTTTTAGAAGGAAGTTCATTGGGTGAAGACGAAGATTCTTTTCGTTTATTATATAATGCTGTCAAGAGTTATAAACTTGGTGTCCAAAGTTTAATTGATCCATTCATGAAATTACCAAATAAAAGGTGATCATTAAACTAGCCATAAAACATGGAAACAGATTTCTTTTAGTTTAAGTTTTCAATGTTTAATAGTTGGGAAAAGAGTTTTCGTTTAGTACAATTGACTATTTATGTATTTCTACGATATTCTAAACTATTTCAGATTTTATCCTGATTATTATGAAGAAATCAAACGACCAATAGCCATGTCATTGATTAAAAATCATATCAAAGTAATTGTAGTGTACTTATTTTGTGAAAATTAGCTTTAGTCGGTGTTATGGAACATTTTAGAAAAATCGTTATGTCTCTCTGGCCGATTTGGTTGATGATTTGCAGCTGATGTTTGCAAATGCTATGCAATATAATCAAGAAGGTTCATTAATCTATAATGTATGTGCATAATTTTGTTTCAAATTCTAGTTCCCGTATCATTTTCCGTTTCACTTCTTTAGAGTGCAAAAAAATTACTTGATCTGGCTCTTTTAAAAGCACACGAATTAGGTTATGACGAACGTAAACGTTCAAAGAATTATCGCAATATAATTGTACGTAGAAAAACAGCGTTATCAATTTTTAATCGATGCATCCAGTCTTTTGCTTTCTCACTTTAGACTAATATAAAGGATGAACCGTTTGAATCATCACCTACAAATTATGGATCACATCGCTATAATGATACGAGTGGAACAGTGACACGAACACCTTATGTAAGTTGCTCAGAGATCGATATCCGTTGTGCACTCAAAGAAAGACTATCAGTAATTGTTTTTCAAACTGTATACTATCGGGAAAATATTTTTAAACTTTTATCAAAACGATATGTATTTTTCGTTCTATTTAAAAATATAGAACAGAAAAAACATCATTTTCATCGTACGTTCTTCAAAACTATCTCTTTTTAGGCGCAAAAAGTTAATATTTAACTAATTTCAAAATCTCACTAGATATCTTGAAACTTTTAGATGATATTCCAAGACAAGAATAGCATAATTGCTTGAAATACCAAGAAAATACATAGACAATCTTACAATTTAAGAAGGTTTTTCTAGAAAATTTTACAAATTTGTACGAAAAGAAAAGGAAGCCTTATATTTTTTTTTTACACTTGGTACAATGTGAAATAAGTATATTTGAGTATTTTCTGTCTAATATCGCTTGTTTTCTTTGCATGATCTAATTAATAAGTTTTTTCTGATAGATGTTGTACAGTATCAATTTTCAAATATTTTTCCAACTGATATTTTTTCTTTAAACGACTAGTAGTATAAAACTTCTGTTATTCACTTAAGATTACTGGTCAACGTGGTCGTCCACCGAAAAAGGCGGTCAAATACACCGAACAAAATATTCGTACCATATATAGTTTTATACGTGATTATCGAGTAAGTTTGTCCATATGACTGACTACTCATGATTTGAGTATATGTAAATTTTTCCTGTTTAGGAAAATGATATTTCATTGATTACACCTTATTTACAACTACCATCAGCATCAGACTATCCCGATTATTATGATGTGATACAAACACCGATCGATATGGATATAATCAAAGATAGAATGGAAAAAGGAATGGTATGTTATTCAAATTTGTTTTCTTTTCTTTTCTTTGCTTTAAAATATACATGTATTACTATCTTAGTATAAACGTGAGCAAGATCTCGTTGATGATTTATTGAAAATGTTTAAAAATGCAAAAAAATATAATATGGAAAATTCATCAATATACATTAATGCTTGTAAATTAGAACGTGTTTTAAATGAACAGTATCGAATATTAATGGCCAAAAAAGAAGTGGCTTTATTGAATTTTAATGCATCAACATCACCAGCATCCACAACCAATCGTTCAACAGAACAAGGATCAACGAAATCGTATAAAAAGTATTTAGAAACATTTTTGTTTTGTCTAGTAATACACATACAATTTCTTTAGATGTTTGAGCTTTTCAAGTTTAAAAAGTTTGCAAGATAAATTAAATTATTTATTTAACGCCATCAAACATCATAAATCTCGTCAAGGACGTATGTTATCAACAGAATTTTTAACATTGCCATCGAAAGCAGATTATCCAGATTATTATGAAATAATTGAACGACCAATCGACATTCAACGAATACAACAAAAACTGTCTGCAGCACTCTATTTATCATTAAACGACTTAATTAATGATATTCAATTAATGTTGGAAAATGCGTGTCTTTATAATGAACCTGGTTCCACAATTTATAAAGTAGATGATGATGATGATGATGATTCCTTTTCATCTGATTTTTCTTTATCAATTTTTTCCTTCTTTTAGGACTCATTGTCGTTACAGCGTGTTTTGATAGAAAGAAAACGTGAATTAACTAGTGATGACCAAAATATTCCGGATGTACAATTACTTGTCGGAGAATTAATGCTTCATTTGTTTATTGCAACGTTTAATCATGAGGCAAGTAAAAAAGCAGAGAAAAAAGAATGTCGGTAAAGGATCGGAATGTATAGGGTTAAAAATCGGCCCACTCTCTTTTTCGAGTAAAAATGCTATCGATTCGTGTGTTTTGTTAGCCTCTTTGAGTGTAAGAAGAATGAGAGAAGTAGCGTTTAGTCATCATGTAGGGCTGATTTTGAGGTTGCTGATGGGAATGGTATTGTCGAGAAATTAACGACATTTTAGTGAACAAATGTATCTGATATCATCTGGGATGGAATACTGCTGCGTTTTTCGTTAACAGGAAGCCATTTTTGCCCTTGAAATTCTCCACAAATAGAACTAGTCAGAATACCTTGACTGGTTGAGCCAATCTGCACAGACATGCAAAAAGAAGCGTTCGTACTGAAAAAGCGTTCGTACTGAAAACACCAGCGTAGCACTCTTTTAGTCAATACTTTCTGTCAAAACGAAAAATGATACATTTCTGAATACGAAAATAAGATATCTCCTGGCCGTCTATAACGCTCTTTCACCAAACTACAGTCGATTTACGAATGGCTACAAAGGACGCGAAAATTATCAGCGTTATAGACGGCCGGGAGATATCTTATTTTGCTCACAATTCTTTGCTCTATTAAGCTATGTGGTTTGGAAAATTTTCTGACCAAAAACCAAAGACTTGGTTTTCTGGCAGTTTCCAAAAACTTTATTATCAAGTTTTGTCATAAAATGGCGATATGCATCTCATCTGATAGAAAATCTTTGAGCTATTCAAAACAGTATTTAGATTTGTTCCAGCTTTTACTGAAAAATCAAAAAGAAAGGAGTTCTTATGATTGTAACACGCTGTACTGCGTAAGTAACACCCAAACGTTTCGTTTGCATATCTTTAATGACTGGCCCCACCTGTCTAGATATTTTGATCAGCTCTGTTGGTAGAGAATTTCATGGGCTATCCATTGGTGTTCTTTTGAAAAATATATAGTTTTCCATTAAAACAGAAAAGACTTCTAAAAGAGTGTTCTGCAGCTGTTTTCCGTAGTCCAACGCGTTTTCTATATGGTTTTCTTTTAGGACGAAGCATGTCGATGTTTTAGTGATTCATTTGCTGAATTACCAGAGCGCGTCGAAAATGAACCGTAAGTATATTATATGCCAATTTTCTAACTATTTTTTGAAATAATCATTATTATTTTGCCTTGTTTATTTAACAGATTTGAATTTCCATACACATTTGACTTTGTAAAACGAAATCTTGATCGAGTACGTTCGATTTTATTCTGAACTCTTAACACATGTCTTTTTTCTATTTTTTTTTGTACTTTAGAAACGATATCGTCGTCTAGATGTTTTTCAAGATGATATGTTCAAAGTATTTGAACGTGCCCGAAAACTCAGTAGACTTGATTCACAGGTAAGTTGCACCCGTACTGTCCATTATTTAGTTCTGTATTTTTATCTTGTTTTTTTATTCTAGTTGTATGAAGATTCTATTGAATTACAAACGTATTTCATACATACAAGAGACGACATGTGCTGCCAAGGAAAATTATTAAACTCTCCAGCATTATTCTATAATGAAACGAGTTTAACTCAAGATATAGCGAAAGAACGAAATGAAAAAGGCTTAAATAACAGTATAAATCCAGATTTTGATGAAAACAAAGAAGAAAAAGCAAAAGTAACTGTCCCAGAAAAATATTTTTCGAGCAATGAAAAAAGACTATCCTTTTATTGTTTAAATTCTTTATTTTAGCAATCTTTACCATCATCGGCTGAACGGAGTTCATCGTTGAAAGGACAAACATTTTATTTGGGTGATTTTGTCTATATTGAACCACGGTAAGTGAGTGAAGTAAAAAGAATCATAGATTATAAGTTCTTATTGTTCTTTTAGAGAAGAAGTATGTGAGCCACATATTGTTTGTATTGAATCATTCTCTCAAGAGAACAATGAAGATTATGTGAATGGTCTTTGGTTTTATCGTCCAGATGAAACTTATCATTTACCAACGAGAAAATTTTTAAAACAAGAAGTATTTTTAACTAATATTGTTGAAAGTGTTCCTGTATCAAAAATAATTGGTCATTGTTATGTATCACATGTCAAAGATTATTTTAAATATCGTCCCGTTGTCATTAATCAAACAACGACAAGTATACATTTTGATGATGAAAAAGATGTTTACGTTTGTGAATCACGTTATAATACAAAAACAAAAATGTTTAAAAAGATCAAATTATGGAATATGCCAGGGAATAATTGTGTTAAATTAGTACAACGAATTAAACCATTGGAAGCTAATCGAGATGTCTCTAGTTTTGTCAAAAATGAACAATCTACTTCACAAGATGAACAACAACGTCAACAAGATCTTTCTGATTTGAATGATCCATTATTTTTATCATCAACTGAAACAATTGAAAAACTTAAACATACTCTACCGATTAATTATTCATCTACTGGAAAATTAAATGATAGTCTAACACAAGAGCAAGAACAATCAACAGTAATTAAACAGTATTATGAACAAGTAGCATTTTCAAATAAAGATTATTATAAATTAGGTCTGTATAAAAAATCTGATTGAAAATTTAATCAATTTTACCTCTTTATCTCATTAAGGTGATTATGTGTATATTTCAAGTGGTACAAACGAAATCAATAATAATAACTCGGAGAAGCGTCTCATTTTGAGGATTGACAAAATATGGAAAGAAAATGAGTAAACACTTTACCTCAGTTATTCTCGACTATATGCAGATTAATAATAATTTGTGCTTTTGTTTTCTTTTGTTTTTCAAGAAATCCATTTGCAATGTGTGGTTCATTATTTCTTCGACCCTGTGATATCACGAATCGAGAACAATTAATTTTCACAACGAAAGCAAATTATGGTAAAGAAGTGGTGAAATGTGATAATAGCAATACAATAATTACAGTGACAAATATTATCAGCAAATGTTCTGTATTGTCTTTAAAACATTATTGTACATGTAAGCAATTTAACTACAACCATTTGTTTATTTTCAATATACCTAAATCTTTATCTATTTTAGCTCGCACAACTGAGATACCCGAATCAGATGTCTACTTGTGTGAATCGAAATACGTCAATGATGATCAGAGTATCAGAAAATTATCCAAAGGATTGAAGGTAAAATTTCAGTACAAATAAATCATTGTCTTTTGTGTATGAATTTTCTACGATAAAACGTTTAGTTCCATTTTATCTAATACTATTCATTAGAATACTTGTGGCAACAGAAGAGTTTGTTGTATGAGTGAAGAGAAAGAAGAATACTCCGCCTTACGGGTATTATTGCCAGTGTCGGATGCTTCCACCTAATTTCTGCGTTAAACATCAAAATAACTCAAAACAAAAGTGACTTACGTACAAATTTTTGCAAAAAAAAGTTCAACTAATACAGAATATTTTATAAATTTTATTTTTAGAATATGCAGAATGTTGCAATAATTTCATCTTTGTAACCAGTTTTTGCGTTACACCGCTTATATTTTTGCATTTTTTTGCGTAATTTTGGTTTTGGTGACATGGGCTGACTAATTTTCGATATTTATCTATTTCTTACCAGTCGGAGACACATCGACATAAGTAACCTGCCCAGAGTTAGTATATGCTTCATCTGCGCCAATAGTCAAACTCTACCTTTAACCCTTACCACTGGCAGCTAATTATACAAAGCGAACAACTTGAACCTTGTATACCTTTCTCCAGCCCTGATAAAAAAATTTTTTCTTAATAGCAATTGCTAGCTTATGGTGCCAGCTTACACTAGAAAAGAATCCGTTTTTTGATGCAGTACATCGTTATCCTGTTATAGCAATTCTACGATGTTTATTAATGTCCACGCCTGTGGACATCTGCGGGTAAAGGATTAACGTATGTGACGAATAACACAGTTGTTAAGACAAGCTGCTTTATAAGTAATATCTGTTTTAACACATGTTTCTATTTATTTCCAGAGACCTTCCTTATCAGCAAAAGCATGTATGGATGAAATTTATAAATTCAAGAAAGAATTTACACTTCGACGAGTATGTATACACATTTCATACGTTTCAGACGCATGATACATTAATAAATCAACAAGAAATGTAATCTTATACTTTCAAGACTACAAAGAAATTTTCTACGATCTTCAGACAGTTTACGGTTTTGTTCAAGCAAGACTCTTATGTCTAACTCGTTAGTATTTAAATTCCAGCCTGAGCACCATACAAGACGATGACTTTTTTTCTTTAAATCTATGACCATAATCAGAAAAGTTACTTCTATCTTCATATATATTCATATATTCTTAAACTGTAAATGGTATTCCTAGAAAGGTACCATAGCATTTCAGTACAAACAACGTTTAAAATTTCCTCCACTTCTGTCTGCTACTTGAATTAAACGAAAACCAAATTTTGAGTTTGAGTACATTTCATATTTTATAGACAAACGAACATTCCATAATCAATTACTATGGCTATTTCATATTATAATTTCTTTTATTTCTTTTTCTTCGCTGTCGTGTGGCTGTCTCCATAATAATAATGTTTTTCCTCTTTGTTTTGCTCATTCTTAGCAAAAATACTCTCTCTTTCTATCCGACCGAATTCTTATCGTCGTCGCCAGTCACTTTATGAAAGTTGATTTGATGTATGTACAAAAGTGACGTAAACCCCGCATGAAAAAATTGTGCTGGTCTGCAATTTTTTCTTTCTTTTCTGTATATTATTTTCATCAAAACTGTTACTAAGCGAAATGCGAGAAATATTTGTCCATGCATTTATAATGGAAAGAAAAGAAATGAATAAAAAAATAAAAGGCCCGGAATCGTAAAAGAAAATTGGCGTTCTTCTATATATAAATATATATATATATATATATGTCGTTGGAAGAAGCATAATTGAACACACCATTATATATTGTTAAATATTTTAACTGAGAATATATAGAAAAAGATAAAAATAATTTTTATTCAACTGTACAGTTTCTTTTTCTAAATAATTTTAACATTCATTAATTCTCCTCCTTTTCTTGATGTAGTGCGTAACGGAAAGAAAGAAGATACTATTAAACGCATAATTTTGTATTACGTCTATTTGTTCTGTTTCTGATACAGACAAGAAAAAGAAAAGAAAAATTATCGACAACGGACGATTACTATTGTTCTTTCTCGCTTCTGTCATTTTTTACTTACAACAATACAATATAGTAATATTTATCATATACATCTTAATTTATTAATATTGTTGCAATTATTAACTCGATTTTTATTTTTTTAAAACAGAAACGAAAGAAAAATAAAATAATAAATCGTTCTTCTTTGTACTCATTCACATACACATCGATATATATATATATATATATATATATATAATATATACATTCATTCTTACGTCGTCGTTCTTTCTCGATCCAGTTTTTTTTTTCTTCCTTCGTCTTTATTTTAAAAAGAAAAAAACAGCATTCTGGAGATAAAATTAGAAAAGGTAACAAATCTTGGATGAGTTATTTGTCCCATTTTTGTTCTCTACCCTCCTTGTTCTGTATTTGTTGAGTTTTTTTTTCTATCCTCTTCACTCATGTTCTCTTCAGTCTTTTGACTGACGATTAGTAGCAAGTGTGAAAGAGAGAGAAACAGCAAGACAGCGTGTCAACGTCTCATTTTAAACAGCTAAAATTCTTACAAAAAATGGGTTTATTAAATACTATGTAAGATAATAGATGGAAATAATAGATTGAAATTGAAAATATTAAGATATTCTATATAATATTGTATTTCTGTTTTTTTCATTTAAAGGATTTATCCATCGCTCAGCTTAAATCAGCCGATGATGTTTCATTTATGGATGCAGCCAGTGGATTTTATAATCCAATAACAGATGATAACAGTAATGTCGATGGAGATGAAACAAATATAAGCCTTGAAACAACACCATTAAGTCGAGGACGTGTATGTTATTTTAGTACGTCTTGTTTTCTTACATCTATTTTTCTATATTTCTTTTATATTAGAGAGGTGTAAGACGTTCAACACGTAATCCATGTGGATATTTAGTGTATGCTAGTGAAGCACGAAAACGTTTGATTAAAGATAATCCATCAATACCATTTGGAGAAATGAGTCGAATGATTGGAGAACAGGTAAACATTGTGAGAATAATTTTTTACATCTATTATATAATGTTTGTTCTAATAGTGGCGTCGATTAACAGCAGCTGAAAAAGACAAATATGAAGAAAAAGCACGTGAACGAGCAAAAGAACAGGAAGTATGTAGTATATGTAGACAATCTGTTGGTATATTCTACTAATTTGTTATTTTTGAATTCATTTTTAGGTTGAGGAACAAAAACGACAAGGATCGACGTATCAACAAACATCAACAATCAATCCAAATTATGTAGTGCAAAATGATAATCATGGTATGAGTTTGTCTGAAACTATTCCTTCATTCTGGAATTCTAAGCGGAGTCAGTTTTCGAACAACGGTCCAGTACCGATGTATTTTAACGATAGAATCGTATCAGACACAATCGTACAATAAACGAACAGTTCATAATCGATTCTTTTTATCACGCTTACATTGTTTATTTAGTTTTATTTGAATTGCTTTTATTTATAGTAGGAAATGTGAATAATGTATATGGAGTGCACAATAACCTTCGAATGGTAAATGGATGTGGACCAACAGTGAATGGACATTATCAGTCTAATTCGAATATGCCAGGTAGAGGAAGCACTAAGAAATAAAAAGAAATCTATAGTAATCTTCATATTTATATAAATATTGTAGCTTCTCAAACTTTAAATAAACCAGCATTAACTTGTCCACCCAAAACACAACGTCTAGTTCATTCAGAAGCTTATTTACGGTAAAAATTTGGTTATCATGTTCTATAACAGTTTGATATATCATATTTTTCTCTATTTATCCTAATATAGATATATTGAAAATTTAAAATCAGATAATCCTTATATTAGTGATTGGCCAAAACAACTGAAAGCATCTATGAACGGTTCTTCCCCGTCATCTTCATCGTCATATTCTTATCCACAAAATAATGGTACAAACGCAATGACTAATAATGGCAGTAGTATTAATAATCGATCATTGCCAACCCACTGGTTGGTAAACGGATCAGGAATCTATAACAATGTTACTGAAGCTTTATGGTCCATGCGTGATAATATGTTTCAAGATGTTATCAGAATAAGGGATGTACTTTCTCATGAATGGTAGGATAAACTATTTTTTTCGCAAAAAATTTAGTCACAAGTTATGTTCACAGTGTCAAATATTATCATTAGAAAATGCGTAAATGTATCCATGATGTTTTCGTTATAATTTTTCTTTTTCATTCCAGTATATTTGTTATAAGACGATCGTTTTGTAACAAAAAAAAAATGCAAACGTGCCCTCTGTTGTTATTTTTTTTTTGTTTTAATGTTGTGGGCTTTGTTGGAACTAATCTATTTCTATTTGTATATACGAACACTTCTGTGTATTGCACCTCAGATTTTATTGGGTTTGCAATAAAATTAGTAGTAGTAGTAGAAGAAAAAAAAAGTTATCTTATGTTGCTTTTTCTTTCTATTTTAAATGTGTGATGTGAATGAACGTTTTCATTGTTAAACAGAGATGATATACGGCCGTACTATTGTTGGTCATAAAAAAACAGGATTTGCGGGGTAAAAGAATCTGCATACCTTTTTTTGTACAGTTTTTTTTTTTTTTTGTCTTTTCCATATGTTTTTTTGTTTCTGTTCAGTGTGTAACCTGAGTATAATATATATCGTAGGGGAGAAATAAAAGGTGTCGAACATGGATCTCGGCAGATTCAGTTTCTAAAAGATCTTCAGAAGTGTTAGACTATGCTAGATAAAATAACATTTTATGATTAAAGCGGATTGTGTTTCTTCAGATTTGAATATTTAATATGTCTAATTCCTTGAAACGTAAACATAGTCCTCAGACCAGTGGAATTCCTTCTGCTGATCTTTTATCCTTAGTTTCTGATCTTGACGCGTTAATGGAAGAAAACTCTTGTCATAACAACACTAAAAATGATTCGATCGATAGTGCAAAAGGCAATTACAATGGAAATTTTAAAGATTATTACGAGTAAGTAAATGATCGGGAGAATCCGTTTCAATCCCTATTTATAAGTATATATATTTTTTTTCTTATTAACTTAAGATTTAATACTGTTCAAAGTCGCATGGAACAATTATGTACAGTGAATGATCTTTCATTTAACATACCTTCTGATCAAGATACTTTATTAATATTAGATGTTGGTTGTAATCAAGGAGATCTAACAGTAGCGTTTTCTACATATTTATCGTGTAATATATTTCCAAATAAACATTTTGTGATCTTAGGAATCGATCTCGATTCAGATTTAATTGATCTTGCTAATACATTACATAGTAGTACAACAAAATGTCGATATTGTTTTAAACAATGTGATATTACTAAGGATGATCAAACAGAAGACACTATTCGTCCTTTATTAAGTGAATACAAACGTGATCGTTTTGATTTTGTATTTTGTAAGATATTTGCTGTATGAATTACCTGTATAGATTGTCTACATTTTATTGTTTTTCTCAAATTTTAAGGTTTTTCAATTACAATGTGGATTCATTTGAATGGAGGAGATAATGGGCTGCAAATATTTTTAAAAACATTATCTTTACACTGTCAATATTTATTTATCGAACCACAGCCATGGGCATGTTATCGTCGCGCAAATCAACGTTTAAGACGTGAACAGAAACCCGAATTTATGTCATTTTATAAACTTAAATTAAATACAAATATGGAATTAATTATTAAAGACTATCTTGAAGAACATTGTTCATTGAAACTAAAGCATGATTTTGGTGAAACAAAATGGTCGAGACTAGTTCTACTGTTTGAGTTACCTTTAATAGAAAAAAAATAATTCTTAATTTGTGTTTTTTTCAATATAAAAAGTTACACAAAGTAAAGAAAATAGTTTTATTCGTTAAATAACGAATATCTATCAAAAAAAAGACTTTATCTAGAAATTTCTCTAACTTTAAAATCTTGTCGTACCTTATCGAAAACTACACATCACATTTAGAGAACACATGATCAAACATCTTTGCCAATACACTATGGATAAGACAAACAAGGATGTTCGATCAAAAGCAGAAACATATACAGTGTGATAAAACGCTGCTTTAGTTTTTTGATTTTGCACTAAAAATGAACTATTCATCGTAAGTTTGGCTTGTAGTATGTCTTTTGCTGATGATGATAATTGTTTTTCTTCATCTAATTTTACACGATAGTTGTCCCTCTCATTCCACTATTCTAGACTTTAGTTTTTGCACATGGCACTCAACCATTTGAAAATCTTGTACTAACTAACATCATTATAGTATGCAGGGTAGAATTTTTCAATATTAAACTTGAATTGTAAGTCTATCTCTAGTGAATGTACTTGAGATTAAGTACTTATCTACTTGCACAGTTTCTAAAGTACTTGGTTATGCATGTGTCACACATTTTTAGATTTAATATGTGCCAAGTACTTGAAAGAATTTCGGATGTTTGGATATATTTCGCAAGTACTTACCAAGTTATCTGCCAAATACTTGGTGAAGTACTTATATTTGTTAAATTACTTGATACATTTTTTACTGGCATCTATTTTGATACAGCCGAAATGTCCTCTTCAAAACGGGTACCAAGCGAGCTTTCAAGATTTTCCAGAAATCTTCGGAAATAAGAGAATATTTTTTATTGATCTTAAATGCATTGTACAGGCGGATAATCTATGTTTCCGTTCATTTTATGAATTACCACACCTAAAGAAATTTTAATCTTGGGACTTTCATGAAATCTGACGTCATCCGTAAATTACAAAAAATTAAGAGATCACTTAGTTTTTATTTTAAACTATCTATTATAATATGAACGGTCTATCCATGAGAGAAAATAAAAATGTCTGTATGACAATTATGGAATACCAATCTGGCTATTCAAAGATTCTTCTAAAACCAAGTTTCGCGAAGCACCTTGAAAACACTATCCCATAAAATCCACATGTTTCGATCTCGAATGGTGAAAACCGGATGTTTCTATTTCCTTTCTTTCAAACTAGATATGCACCAATTTTTAACTGATGTTGGGCATCTGGTAGCCAGGGCATCGATTATCAAGATTCCTTCTCATAGCTCCGGAACGTCTAATTTTTTGTAGAAAAATATTTGCTCTACCAAATGGATTTATTAAAAAGATTCCAAAAGTATTTCTAATAAAACTTAGAACATTCTAAAATCCACTAAATCATGAAAAAACAATTCGTTCTTATAATTTTTTGAAACATTACTTTGATCATTAGAAAAGTGATTGCCACCGGAGTTATGGTATTTGGTAATAATGATTCTGGATCTCCGCATGTTTTGCAACCTTCGATTGTTAATTTGCATTGTGCATGTAAATGTCCTAATTTAGGACACTTCCAGCATGTCAGTACGTAATTGAGAAATCATTTAAAACTCTCTTTTATATCAGTTTTCCTGATATACTGATTTTACTCGCATCATTCAGTTATTTTGAAAAAATAAAGTTTGGACAAATTGTTAAATAGCATTTATCTGTACTCCTAGAATTGAATTGACTATCAAAGTTTAGATAATTAAAATGTTTTATCTAATATACAATTTGAAATGACAAGTAACAGAGACATCATGAACATGCGATAGTATAGATGTTTCGCGCTGCAACTTTCCGCTTAACAATTATCTTTCTTTTTTTGGCAAGATCATAGTCCTTTTATTTTCCTCGTATATATTACATATGAAAGCAACAAAAAAACAAAAAATATGAAATTAAACATTAAAGAAAAAAATGAAAAGTAAAACATTCAAACAAAAACGAAACATATATACGAAAAACAACATCATATTTACTGAGAACACATTTGTCTTCTTTGTTTCTTGTAAAATACAGTTAATGCTGGAACGACTACGAAAACGAGAGCAACAGCAAAAAAAAATGTTCAAGTTCTTCAGCAGCAAATTATTTCCTAATATAAATGATGTGAGAAAAAAGGAAAAATTGAGAAAGGTTTTACTTGTCGTACAAGATATAGACACGAAATACCCATAAAAAAACATTGATTTTCTTGTGAAAAAAAACTAATTAAGAATAGAAAAGTATGAGGTTAATTTTGAAAAAATGATGATTAATTATTTATATACTGCGATGTTTTATATCGTAGTTTTCATCCATGTACTGAAACACGTGGAAATAATAAAAATATTTTTTCTATCGTACAAAGATACAAAAGCAAAATAAAAAGTGAACAGTAAGAACAATTAACTCTCTTAACTGGGTGGTGCAGGGACTTTTGAAGAATTCGGAGGCAATGGTGGCTGCTGAACACCTGCCCAATATTGTGGATACATTTGTGGTGGATATGCTGTCATCGGATAATATCCAGCATATGGATTTGCCACTGGAGGTGGTATTTGATAATTACTGTTCGATGTTGTTGTACTCTGACTGGTATTATTATAAGAGTTCTTAGGAGCTGCTGCTGCTGTTGGTTGTTGTGTTCTTTGAGATGCTCCCACAGATGATGTAGATAAACCTGAATTTTGTTGTTGCTGCTGTTGTTGTCGTTGATTGTTCGTAGTTGCTCCATTTGATGATGATGATGATGATGAATATTGTTGTCGTTGAGATTGTGATTCGTCCTGAAGGATAATTATTAACAACGAACTGTCATTTAGTCTATTTTAGGATAAGATTTTGAGCTTATGAAGAAATATTATTAACAATAGCCACCCTTAATGAAAGCAAAAAAAGATACGTTGTTGGTCACCGTCATTGCTATGAGTCGGGCAGAAGAAAATTTTTTTAACTAAACCGTGGCATAAGGCTATTTTGAGTTTTGTCCGTTTTCATTTTGAATAAAGTTAGAATTAACAAAAATATGTTTTTCATTCGAAGTTTGTTTTAGGCTATCAAAATAAAACTCACCGTTCTCGGTCGTTTGGCATTATTACTATAACCATTATTATGTGATAATCCTTGAGATCCAAAACCACCACCTCGACGTTCAGATCCACCCACTGGACTACGAGATCTCGATCTTTTAGCACTGAAACCTCCGGGACGAGAATTTCCACGATTATTGCCAAATCCACCACGAGAAGATTCACCAAAGCCTGAACCGCCAGCATTATTTCCACCGCGATTACCTCCGTAAGATCGACGATCAAATCCTAAATAGTCATAAGATCATATAAAAAATATTTATTATAGCAAACGAAGATATACTTGTACCTCCTCGCATTCCTCCTCTTCCACCTGAAAAATATTTTGTTCTAGCTATTTCATATAATTTTTCATTGACATCTTGATTTGAATCTTTTAATAATTGTATTAATTCATTTGCTTGTTTTCCATTTTCACGTGTAAAAAATGTGTACGATGTTCCTTTCATATTGGAACGCGCCGTACGACCAATTCGATGAATATAATCTAGGACAAAATAAATTTCGTTAAGAAACATTTGTTTGAGATCAAACCGTTCACTCACCTTCGGCTTGAGGTGGATAATCTAAATTTATAACAACACGAACATCTTCGACATCTAAAGATAGAAATAATGATGTTCCACAATGACTAAAAATATTAGCAAGAATACAACATTGCATGATAATTAAATGGGCATTCACTAATAAGTCAGGAAGATAAAAAGAACGTTACTTTAGAAATACCATGAATAAACAAATATACGTACTTAGGACAATCCAAAAGTAGTGGTGGAGGTACTTTATTTCCGTATAGAAAGCTTGAGGAGACTTTCTCTTTATATACAGCGATAGTAAAAACAATGCTCTATTTTTCTGTAATATTGATGAAAAAGTTAATTGTAATTTATTTATAAACTATATTTAAAATTTGATAACCAGCCAAATTATCGAGATTTTCACCAAAAAATGAATACCAAGTAAAAATTTCGAAATACACATCGACCGACTCAGTTTTTGATCCGGATTCCGAATATGATATTTTTATTGCTCAAAAGTTGAGTTTTGATGGAGAAAATTGAGAATTACGGACAGAATTCCGACTTTTTCGTCTTTGATTTAGAAAAAATGAATTTTCTCAACAACGAAACAAAATTTGGAAAAAAGCTCTATATATTTTTAAAGCTGATTACCTGGCCTATCTTATGATGTGTGAATCAAAGGTCTAACCCTCCACACAAAATACTAGTGGTTTTTGAACGAAGGGTCTTGGTTCTTGACTCATATACGTTCCGGGTCTTGCCAAGATTCCATTTTGTGGTTTGGAGCCTTGGGAGTACCTTGGCTAGATGCAGTTTTGAATAAGGAATCCACATATAGTAAGTTAAAGTCTCCATGAAACTTCAAAAAACAAAAACGCAGGTCTTTTTCTTACCTCGGCCACTACTTCTGGATTGTTCTAAGTAGTTTTTTAGATATTTAAGAAATTTTATTCACCACAAGAATGATTAACTAAAAGCTATTTATTTATTTATTGTTTTTTTTGGCACCTAGATCAGCTTCTTTTAAACGATGTCATAGACTTACCGTTTTTGCCATTTCACATGTGCAGTGTATGTGTGCATGTGTCTGAAAAAAAACGCTGGTGACCTATACAGTATAACATGACGAAAAATTACGGACTCTTATTGCCCTCTTTCTAGACGGAGTACACACGCACTGAGAATGAGTCTCGAAGACCAAAAAAAACGAAGTATGAATATAACTAAATACCGTGTACCAAGTATTCGAAGAACGTTCGACGTCGGCGTTTGATTAAATAAATATTCGACGACGACGACCGTTGTACTCGGCACCGATATAACCATTGAGCGTACTACTCCTGTTATTTTTTTTTGATATATGCTCCAATTCAACTACAAACAAAAATGTTTGACGATAACATGAATGTTTCGTCAATAAAAATTTTTCTTGTTTGACAAAACAAAATGTTGTACCATAGATGATGTGGTCATTTCCTTTTGTGTATGTGTCTGTGTGTGCGTATGTGTACTGGGCTTAATCCCATTTTTTAAAAACGTCATGTAGACCGATCGATACACATTTTTACACTATGTAAGACCGTTAAAGCAGCTGATCTGTTTAGAGTTTTTGACATCTTAATAGGCACCTACAATAAGTGGAAATAAGATAAGTGAAGAATATTTTTTATTATACGCTTTATACTCGATTTATTTCACTAGGACATATTATCTCTTAAACTTATCGATTATTAGAACAAACTTACCTAAACCACGAGCTGCCACATCAGTTGCAATCAATATAGCTCTTGTACGATTTCGAAATTCTAAAGAAATGTAATACAACTGTAAGAAATGAAGTGTACCGACATCGGCACGGCTCGAGATTTTGGTCGGACCGGGCTGGGTCAGAAAGTTTTTAAGACCGATTGGGCCTGGTCGGGCTCGACTCTCAAGTTTTGTTTGCCAGGCCGAATCGGGCCGAGGACTTCTCTTTCTTTCCGATAGCATATGATTAAATACATTAATAAAACTATTATATTTAGTATAAACATGTATGTGATGAATATTATAATATTTCTTTTTCTAGTCTGTAGCTGAATAAACAGATTATCTAGTGCATACAAAGATTGGAAAAAAACATGGAAATTTAAATGTTAGAGTTGTGTTAGAAGCACATTTATAGCATTTTATCAACCAAACCTATTAGCGTTAAAGATGCAAGAGACTGTAAAGAACTGGAAAAGGCCGGACCAGAACCTACACTTTTTGTCCATGGGCCGGACCAGGCCGGGTCATCAAATTTTGAATACTAGTCGGATCGAGCCTCAAGTATTCTTTGTCGGACCGAGCTGACCCAGAAATTTTCGGCTCATGTCGATTACTGGTATAGAACACAAAAAATGTTTATTTTTTACCTGATAAAACACGATCACGTTCTTGTTGACGTTTATCTCCATGAATAGGAAATGCTGGATAACCCAATCGTTTAACGATAAAGAAAAAATCATCGACACGTTTTTTTGTTTGTGCGAATATAATCACTTTACAATCTTGTTCACGCATAACAGCTGCGAGAACTTTGGCCAATCTATCAAGTAACAAATATATTTATATTACAGTTAAGTATAATATTAAATTGAACCTACTTGGATTCTTTTTCATGTTCTTCACAAACATCGACAATCTGATGAATATTTTGATTCGCATTCAATACTGCTTTGCCAAGAGTTATATGAGAACAATTGGACATAAAATCATCTGCTAGTTTTTGTACTTCTTTTGGCCATGTGGCACTGAACATCGATGTTTGACGGTCGGGCTGAAAAATAAAATAAAATCGTTTAGAATGCAAGTTCAAATCATGCGAAGGAAAAGTTTTGCCATCAGTGTATATTCTCTATGAGGTAAATATGCTCTCAAATGTTGTTTATTCATAGTACAAGTCGTATTTAGACAAGTCATCTCGCAGTTTGGAATGCTATGAGAATGAGATAGAATAGTAGACGTCTATTAGCACTTATGTTTTCTTCTCTTCTTTTCAATAATAATATAGTAGAATATGTACTATTACCAGACTGAGATTACTTATTAGCTCGGTTATTTATTCCCTACTTTGTTCTCTTACCCTGATATATCGAATAATTTTTCTTATTTGTGGTTCAAAACCCATATCTAATAGAGGAAACGGTATCATCAAGCTACAAATTCTAAATTGTTCCAATAAATTTACCTAGCATTCTGTCTGCCTCATCAAGCACGAGATAAGTGACACGGTCAAGATTAATCGTTTTTTCACGAACAAAATCCAACAAACGTCCCGGTGTTGCTATGCAAACCTAAATATATAAAGCTCGCTCGTATAATCAATATTTATACCGAAACTGTGTTGTGTAATGTACATACTTCTAATCCTAAGATGAAAAAAAACAATTGATTATCAATAGAGTCACGAGAAAAACAATGACTTACCATGTCGAATATCACGTTTTTGAGGTTGTTTTGGTGCACCACCATACACACAAACACTTCTTGCATTTGTTGACGAACAAAAATCATTGCAAACATTTTGAATTTGTTGTGCTAATTCACGTGTTGGTGCCAAAACAAGAACAACTGGATCACCATGACGTGAAATCGTTTGACCAGCAGCATGAATCAAACCTGGGATCATAAACTATGGCAAATAGACAAACGTGCCGTAATGTCAGTAAAAAAGTAAGACAATTGTTAGTAAACTTACTGCAAGTGTTTTTCCCGAGCCAGTTTGTGCAATTCCAACCAAATCATTCCCACTCATTAAAACTGGCCAAGCTTGAGATTGAATAGCTGTTGGACGTTGGTAACCAAGACGATGTAGAATACTTTTCATCTGACCTGTAAAGGAATGTATGAAAACATTTTTTGGAAAAGTATGGAAACTAGATCAAACTTACTCGGAAACGGAGCTTCATCGAATGAAAGAACAGGTCTTGGAGCAAATCCACGTATAGACATTTCATTTTGTACATAAAATTGATCAAAGATCTCCTAAAAAGAAACGGTATTGCTGGTAAGACTAAAAACAAATTATATTAGTGATATCAATAGTTCTACCTGAGGCCTATTAGTGATTAATGGTGATTCTGTGTAAAAATTTTTGATTACTGGTGGACCAGCACGTGGTGCAGGTATTGGTATATTTTCCATTTCACTAAGTAAGTTATTTCCATATTTGTTGTTTCCACCACCTGCTCCTCCAGAATTTCTACTGGTTGTACTACTACCATAGCGATTTGAACCTTAAACAGAATAGAAAACGTGTTTGAGGATAAAGTTACGTTCTTTAAAGTTTACTTCTAGATTGATCGCGACTATAATGACCATTGCCACCTTTTAAAATAATGAAAATTTATAATTAATGATTAAAAAATAAACTTTCGAAAAACTTACCGCCACCGCCGCCATAAGATGATCCACCGTTTCGAGAATAATTCATTGTTTACTGTATATTAAAATAGGTGATGTTAATGTTAAAGTGATGTTTCTATCTGAAGATAAACGTTCACTATAAAAGTTGAATTTTTGGAAATAAAGAAGTAAAATGTAGACAAATATGGAACACCAGAAACAACAGTATCATGTAAAGAATATAATAAAAGCTAATTTACTAAAAACAATTGGTGTATTTACAAAATACATAGAAAAAAAAAACAGGCAAAAAAATAATAAATGTAATGAAATTTCGTATAATCAGTGTAAATGTCCTTCGTTGGTGTGAACAAGGTCAGAAGGGTTATGTTTCTTACTATCATTCTGGCCGGCTATTTTATAATGATCAGTGACTTTTGGATAGGGATAATGAGGATTTATTGGTCCGAACGTATCGTGATAAGATAATGGATCTCCATGATGCCGGTCCCAATCTTTTTGTCTAGCTCTATCAACATTTATTCGCTTCCATGACATAAAAAGTCCCGTGACAAGTCCAAATACAACAGCATATAAATAATATTGTTTACGATAATAAATATCAAAATGCCACGGTGTTGGTGAACGTGCTTCAATTGGTTCATTTGGAAAATAACTTTTATAAAACTCCTTTATATCAAAAGCTATTGGTTCTTGTGGGGTGTAATGTTTCGGACGTGGTAGTTCTTCCGGAGGTGGTCGAAATGATGGATCCATTGACAAAGGAGTTCTAGGCTGTTGCTTTGATAATGGTATTGATGGATCATGGTTTATGTGGTGCGAGACATTATGTGAAGATGAAGCAAAACACTGTTGAACATAGGAAAAACAACCATTTGTTCTCAACAAACGATCACTCAGATGCGAATAAAGTAGTTTGTTGGACAAATGTTGTTGTTTTGAGAGAAACATCTAAAACAACGAGAAAACTTGGAATCTATCTATCATAGCTCATCCAGACATGAACAACAAACCGTTAACAAATATAGTTATTATGTGATTAAGACTAAGACTGTTTTATTCACGAAAAGTGAGAGTCATCAAAGATCACCGACCTGTAATAACAATGACTCAAGCCAAACAACACCAAAAGAGTAATAAAAAGAACAAAATAAAAAAGATAACTAAGGTTAGAACCAGAATTTGTGCACGTTACGAATCTATTGGACAAACAAACACGAAATTGCATTTCATTTTTGTTTTCTTTCTTCCGAACAAGCTACCATTTCAGTAGGAAGAAAATGAAACCCAATTTTATGTTTGTTCATTCAAAAATAAATTCGTATCGCTAAACACATAAAGTAATGACGATTTCTTATTTACATCGATCTGATGAGATATTAAATAAAATGAAATAGCATATTGCATATAGTAGAACAAAAAAATTGCCTGACTTGTATACAAGCAAAAGAAAAGACAGTCATTACGATGGTAGTAGCGATTAAAAAAAAGAGGCTACGCTACTATACAAATTAGTGGATGTGCATAACTGTATTACTAAGAATGGATTAGTCTAAAGCAAAAACGAATCTTCGCAGATATGTGTCATCGGAAAGAAAGAAAATTGGAGAATTAAATAAAATAATACAGAAGGAATGGGAATAAAATCATGATTTTTCCTTTTGAAGTTACATAGTTTTGTTAGTTGTTTGCAATTATGAATTTATATTTTGCGTTGTTCTTGGGAGGGGGTACTTCTTGAATCAGGATCTTGATTTCTTGGATTTGTTTAGTAAGATCTTAATTCAAGATCTTGGTAAGAAAACGTAAGAAGTTAAAGAAATGTCAAGAACCCAAGATCTTGAACTTCTTCAAATTTCTTGACTTCTTGGACCCAAGATCTTGGAAATACTTTAATCATCGTTTTATTTTCCACTCTTGTGTAAATATAAGTGCGAAGATTTTCACACTTAAAATAAATTTGAATTATTTTCCTTTTTTGATTATTGTTGTTTAAGGAAGAGGCTATGATTCTATATAGTCGTATATCTGATATCTATGACTGTCATGAATGAAAACAAAATGTGAAGAAAATTTTCCACTTAAGTGTGATAATTTAAACAAAATTAAAAAGAATTTAAAAAAGAATTTCTACGATCTTGACTTCTTGGTGTTTTTACCAGATGTAAGATCTAATCAAATACTTGTTATTTTGTAGTAACTACACAATTTCACTGATTTTAGATTTTTGCCTTGTGGTATTTATTTATTGTTCAAAAAATGGAATTTCCCCATTTAGGAAAAAATTGTTCTGTTCAAACATGTAATCGTCTAGATTTTTTACCGATGAAATGTGATGCATGTGAAAAAATATTTTGGTAATTCTTTATTTTTTACAAAAGTAAATTTTGTTTTTTTAAAAATTGTTTTCTGTTGTTTATTTAGCAAAGATCATATAAGATATAATGAACATAAATGTGAATCATCTCATCGTAAAGACGTGCAAGTGCCTATTTGTCCATTATGTGGTCAAGCAGTATCTTGTTCTCGAAACGAAGAACCAGATCAAGTTGTCAGTGCACACATTGATCGCGATTGTAAATCTGATCCAGCTTTAAATCGTCGACGAATCTATACAAATCGATGTTCAGCTCCAAATTGTAAACAGCGTGAAGCAATACGATTGAACTGTGATAAATGTTTGAAAACATATTGCTTAAAACATCGTTTTCCTGAAGATCATAAATGTAATGGATATGAAAACACAGGAAAACAAATGAATAAAGCTGGGTAAGTTAAAAGAATAAATTTCTATCTTGATTTATAATGAAATTTTAATGGATTTGTTTTAGTGCTGCAGCTATTGATAGAATGAAATCATCCACAACAAATACAAATGTAATATCATCGATACATCCGACTTCAGCTTCTTCCCATGTAAATAAAAACAAATCTGGAAATACAAATAATAATGCAGCGGCTTCCGCTGTAGCGTTGGTAAGATCTATTTCATATCAAAAGAAATTATCTAAAAGTTAATATATCACTATTTCGTTTTAGGATGATGATTCTGATGGTTCACTAGCAATGGCAATTAAAATGTCAATTGAAGAAACGTAATATTCTCTAAAGATAATTAAGTTCAATGCTTTTATTTGTTGTCTTTTCAGTGGCACACAACAAGATGAAGATTATCTTTTAGCAAAAGCCCTTCAAGAAAGTGAAGAAGAGGAAGCGCGTCGAAGGAGAGCACAGGTGAGGATAGAAACTATTAAAAGTTGAAGATTCATAAATGTTCAGGAAATTTGTTATCTTAGATTAGACTATCAGATTTTTCACCTTTTTTTCTATATAACTAATGACAAAACGTTTCTGAACAATTTTATTCATTTATTTTACATTTTTCTCATTGACTTACAAGATTTTAGACTATTTCGATTGGTAGATAATGATTTTTCACAGCATCTGAAAAAAAACATACTGCGATAGACAGATGGTCAAACAACGCTTTGCACAAGACAGATGTTCAAGTTCAACAAATTCTTCAATTTATCTAATTCTCATTCAAGTGTTATATTTTCGATTTTTAAAAGAGACTTAAATGTTCTATTGTTAACATCTGATTCCCGGGATTGTGAACTAACACCTTAGAGTTAAACTTTTGAGGAGGTTTTCTATTAAAACTTTAAAAAAGATTGTTACAATAAATAAAAGACTACGATTATCTGATCTATATCGACAAATAAAAATTTCTTCTATGAATACTCCCAAAAACTCCATAATCATCGTACATAAGTAGCAGAGATGGATCCCAGTTAAATCTAGATTTGAAAGTTTTCTTGACGTATTCGAACTTGATCTGGAAATGGGCGGACGTGTTTATCTTTATGAAGTAATTCTGAGCTCTATCCACATATTTATATATATATATACGCGTTTTAAGATGCAAAGAGAACATTGATTTTATCAGAAAATAGTTAAAATGAATTTTGTACGATTTATAAGTGAAAAATAAGGGTTCTTTCATTTCAACTTTTGAGTAATAAGCTCAATGAGTGCTTCTTTTTAGAAAACCTTTATGTATAAATCCCAACAGCCTAAAATCTTGTATAGAAGTCAATGGAAGGGTTAATGGAAAAAAATAAGTAGATAAAGTTGTCAGAATATTTTTTTGCCACCCGTTAGCGTTTAGACGCATCAATGCATATTGCTTCATGCTTCCATAGTCCATAGAAAGAAATGAGTTTATTTTGTATTAGCTCAAATTATTTTATTAATAATAAACAGAAAGAGACTTACCCGTAGAGTTCCTCCTTTAAGTTCTATTTGTATTTTAGGGTATCAAAAGCAATGCCTGATAATATTTTCGGTTATCATTCTTTTAGTTATCGTCAAATAACCATGATTCAAATAATTCCAATAAAAATGATAAATCATGTATCATCCAGTGAATGATGATGAGTTTTACAACAGCACTTATCCAGAACATCTGCAGTTGAAACACAGTTTATTCGATTGACTGTCTTTGTTAAAGTTTTTCTGTTATTTTTCTAATCATTTAATTTATTTATTTTCTCTATGCTAGCTAAAGCTATTTTCTTTGACTGGTGCATATGTGTTCTTTTTTTACTACGATTATGTTTTTTTTATATTGTACTATACAGCTAACTACACGTATGTTGTACATATTGCTGGAAAAAAATAAAAGTATCTTTATTAAGAACGATAAGATAAGATGAACTTCGTATTTGCTTGGATAATAGAAAAAAAATTGTCGTATATTTCGTTTTTAAGACTGTCTTAAACACTGTATAAAAGGAGAACGAGGAGTAAATTCTAATAGTAAGAATAAATTATGTGAACATCATCAACTGTGCTTAAACTCACAAATTATATCGAATTTGATACTGGTTTTGCGCAAAATACAACATAATTTTTTTATTGTTATAAAATATTCAAAACAGACATATTCTAACAATCTTAACGAAAATGTAATCTATTTTTAAAAATGTACACCATCTATATTCGAAGAAAATGAAAAGTAGATAAAATGTCATCGAGTTTGTATCATTTAATTGTTAATTTTTGTTTTCCAGATGGAATTTGGTGAGCCACTACCTGAAGTTGTTGTAAGGTTATATAACGAAATTAAAACTAAAAAGGTATACTTCGATGTTTGATCAAAATTATAAAATAGACTCTTTTTTTTTTCTTTTTCTTCTTTATTATAGATTTTAGAATTAGATTGGAAGCGTACTGGAAGACGTTTATCTCCAATGAATACGTCTACCAATGTAGTTAATGTTCCAGTTACTATAGTTAATTCAAACAGTCAACATCCAGCAACAAGACCAGACGATCAAAAGTAAGTTAAGAATAAAAATTTCTCTTTCATTCTAAATTTCTACATATATATATATATATATATATAGAACGACAAATGAAGTAGAAGAATTTGATAATGAACATGATAATACATTAACGAATAAAAAAACAACAATATCCTCTTTTCGATCTGTTGGTAAGTTTAAAATATTTTATCATATCAAACTATTACCAATTGACATTTTTTTTCTTATATTTTAGTTGGAAAACCAAGTCGAACAACTGTAAAAAAAGTTGATATGAATACAATTATTGCTGATTTAAATCGACAGCAAGGAGAAGATAAAAAAGTTCGAAATCAAATGACAGTAGGTGATCTTTTCAAACTATGTACTGTTACAATTTAATATTTTTCTGTTTTAGACACAAACAACGTCTTAATAATAAAATCAGATAATATAGAATTAATGTTTTAACTCATTTTTTTGTTTTTTTGGAATTTGTAGTCTTTTAGAGAATTTCTTTTCTTTTTTGTAAAAAGATATTTTCATTTTTCTATCTACGTGTGTTGGATATACACTTTGTCTAGAATATATTATGTTTTAGTAAATGTACATAATAATCAAAATGAAAAAAGATTATCTATAATTGAGAATGAATAACTCGTGTCTGATGGATAATTATAGAGTCTCAGAGAAACATCATGTGATTTTCAATTTCGAACAGTCAGACTTTATCGTATTGATATATCAGTCATGCCTAAATTTTAATGCAAAATCAAAGAAACTTTTTCTTATTACAACAAACTTCTCTTAAAATGAGACATACTACTAGAATTGAATTTAAAACTCGATAAATATTCTATCGTATGGATTCTTTTCGGGTTTCTGTCTCCCATACGAAACGTCACAGTGTTTTAATTTTTATTACTGTTTCTGATTTTGAGATTTGACGAGAAAAGATGATTAGATGTGAAATTGCTTTTAGCTCATAGCTAATAACATAACAATTGTTCAAGAATTTCTTTTCATTATAATATATTAAGTTGAAATTGATAATGTTCTGGTTTCAGTCGATTGAATTTCATCGCTAACGATAGTCTGTGGTGGTTGTAGAGAATCAATTAATGAAATAAATCGTGTATCGCGACATGCATTATATTGAACAATTTTATTTTCACGTTTTTGTAATGCACACAATAATTGACTATCTAGAGGAGTTTTACGTAAATTAATCGTTTGACATAGTGTCCGATAATTTGCTAAACATTCCACTTGAACGATATATGAATCATCTCGATCAAGACTTCTAAGTAAATGTTCTATTTCATCTAGGCGTAATTTACGATTTGCTAAAGTACTTGTGTTTGTTCGTGACGATGTTATACTACCAGTTTTTGGTCGACGACTTGTTGTATAAGGAGATTCTAAAGTTTTAAATGCATCATTATCAAATAGCGTCTTGTAAGGACTATTTAATGTATTGAGTGTTTGTGAATAACCATCGCCACTAGTGATAGAACGATGTTTGTAATTTTCTAAATTTGAATCTAAAATAACGGATGATGGTTGTCGTTTTCGAGAAGGATAGGCAGATTGTACACGTTTGTGAATATCCATATTAGAGCCAAATATATATTTCTGAAATGTAAGTAACTAATATCAAGACGAACAAGAAGAAAGTCGATTAATACAACTGATTTTTTAATACACAGAAACGCAACTTTATTTATTTTTAAATAAGCAACGCAAATGATGCTTTATTTTTATAGAAGATTAATATGCTTCTCACATTAAAATCTGTCAACATATGATATTATTTTTTCAATTTTTTAGTTTAAGAAATATTGCAAAATTGAATCTGTAATAATGTAAATAAAGAAATTGAAGGTATTTTTTTGTTTCTTTCTCACGCCTCTGCTACTGACAGAAACACGGATGAACGTTTAGATATTATCTTTTAAACAGTTAGAGTCAAAGTGATAGTAATATCCTGAAGAAATCTGTTCACAGGTCGAGGATTGTATGAAATCTATAAAAAAACACATCTTCAATGGCAATCAAACGACGATAATTTACTGGCTGGCTATCTTTTAGGAGATGATATACGAAGACAATGTTATCCAATAAATATATTAAATAGAATAAAATTGTTAATCAGCATATATATCCTCCTTCTATGCACGAACGGACATTACGAGCGTCAGATTTTATTCAGAGATGCATCAAAGACCTTCACATTTTTAGATCAGCATGGGACATAAAATAATAAAATGACTTTGTTATTTATCTTCTTCCTACACTGCGTGAGAATAAAAAAACATATGTGAGAGAGTACTATTTTGGTTTTATTTACATCAAAAACATCATAGATACTCATAATTTCTGTTTTTCAAAGAAAAAAGAACAAAAAGAACGGCTAAACCATCACTAATCATTAAACTAGTAGTTAGTGGTATAACGGATATCAGTTCGTCCACTCACTTTCAAATATGATTACAGTAATTCAACTATCAATGAAGAGTGGCTAGATTTTGTGGAATATCGCGTCAAAAAAGAGAACAAGCAACGGATCTTCCTATAACCAATATTTGAAACAGTAGTTCAATTACTGGTGATGAAATATCTTTCCAATAATTTCGATACAAGAAGTCATTATTTCCTAACTTCTATTCATCACACGAAAAAAACCACAAGTTATGTTGGTGACAGCGATAATTAAAATAGCTAATAAATTCTTATTTTATTTTTTCTAGAAATAAACTCAATTTATGTCGAAAAATGTTACCTTCTTTTTTTATTGTATAACATTCCCATCATTATTATAGCCGAGAGAGAAAAACGTTTTGCTTTTTTTGTTTAAATTTATTGACAGTCTTCGCACGCACAGTTTTATCGTAAAAATAGAGAGCAAAAACTTTAATAATGATCATGATTTGAATAAAATTAGCTCACTACAATTTGAAGGATTTCTTAGTTGTGAATCATACTATTTCAATGAGGACGATATTGAAGTCAAGAAATTTGCCTTTTTTTTCTTACGACTAACAAATTATTTACAAAAGATTAATTAATTGTTGATGTACACAGGTCTTCTGCATATTTGCATAGGGAAATATTATAGTGTATGTTTCGAGTATGCATCTGAACAAAACTGAAACAGTATGATGTGTTTTTCAATAAAAAATACTACGCACAATTAATTAAAAACTACCTATAACTAAAATGGTCAACAAATAAAGTTCTTTGATCTGAAAACCTTTACAATTTGAAATTTCTTTGATTAAATTGAGCATGTCCTAGATCTTCAAACGGATAGTGATTCTCTATCTTTTTTTGTAGCTTACTCTGCCGAAATTCAGTGTATTCTTTTTTCTTTGTGCATTCAATCTGAGTTAGTTCTTTGATGTTGTTGTTATCGCAGACCTACTGTGGATAGAGATTCCCTAGTCACTTTTCCTGGAAAAATTCCTGAGGAATTCGTTAGATGATTCTCTAGAGACTTTAGAGGAGTCCCTGTGAATTTCCCCAAGAAAGTCTACAGGGATCCGGAAAGTCCCCTATAATCCCGGAGGACTCCTGTAGGTCTATTGGTCCATCTTTTTTAATTTCATATAACTAATTAGTAATTAAGTGCCAGTTGCCGTCACTGGTATCAGTGTAGCACATATCAGACATCAAAGGTTGACACACTAATGTTGACTTACTAGAAGAAAATTCGTAAAATTTTATCATAGAAGTATTATATTTATACCCAGGTCGACAAAAACTGTCATTTGGTTTAAGCCTGTAATCTTGAACCAGACTGTCATTTAATTGTCCCTTAACAGCCTGTTAACTGTATGTCAAAAAATGGCCTGTTAATTGTATAAAAATGGAATGAAAATTGGCATTTAACAGCCATTATAATGACTTTTTTTTGACTTTGAAATAACGGTGAAAATAATGCCATACTATAGTCAATGTTGGAAAAAATGGCATTTTACGGACATCATTAAATGGCATTTTCGTCCATTTATTAGACCGCGTTAACTAATGCCAAATAAATGTGCATGTTACATGCCCGTTTTGAGGCAGTTTTTTCTCGATTTCAAAATGGCAAAAAATGATCATAAATTGGCATTTAACAGCCATTTTATGGTCACCAAGTCATTCATCATTTTATTTTGCTGTCATGACTAGTATAAATAGCTCTGATTTTATACAATATATATTATAATTTAGAGTTTTTCTCTTCAATTATACGAGTCATAGAAACTTGCCTCGAAGAAGTGGTCTGTGGTTCCTGTGATAGTACCTCAGATTTTAGAGAATATTTTTTTGACATTTTCTAACAGTCTAAAATTTGATACTTAAATGGCAAAAGAATGGGATCAGCAGCGTTACTGGCACCAGTTAAATGGGTGTTATTTGACATTTAAACAAATGCGAAATAAATGCATTTAAACGTTCCCGGTTATAATGGCAAAAAACTCCCTAAAAACTGGGTCCAATGACATAAAAATTCCATTTAAATGCATATTAACAGCGTATTAAATGGTATTTAATTGCAAATTAATTACACCGTTTTCGACGTCCTGGGTATATTGTCTATCTGCAAAACAAACGGTGAATGGGGAGTTGGCAGAGACTTCCGGCGTATGATGGTGATTCCCTAGGGACTCCTCGGAAAGTACACATTTTTGGGGACTTCCAGGAGACTCCCTAGGGTATCCAAGGGGATTATGCATTTTTCGGGGAGTCTCCGGGGACTTTGAGGGGGAGAGTAGACTGGAGTGTTTAGTTCCAGCCTGAATTTTACGGTTTACCTGATTATTGGTTTAGGACTAAAGATTGTTCCATTACAACAATTTCATTCGCAGTAAGATCGCCCCAATGATTCACTCATACTGACAGGGTTATTTCTAAAAGAAGACAACACCCACAAATTAAAATCTGAGTTAGCCAGTCGATAAAGCTCATCGAGCAGAGTATAGCAACGCCTAACGAACACCCAAAAAACTTTTTATAGTTTCGCTTCTTAAGCATATATTTTCAATGAACACCCACGAACACCCAGAAGAAAGAGTAAAAACACCCAAAAAAGTGTGCTGAATTCATCTCCAGGTTGTTCTGAACCTCGCGGCTTTTTGTGGATGTTCGCGTCTTTTAGAAATACCCTGCTAAGAGTCAGCTTCACATCCTCTACCAGCCAGATTTTTTTCTCAGCACATCATGATTGGAAGAAGTACAAGCAATGTGATACAGTACTACGTAAATAGCATATTTTCAAAAATATGTTGGAAGGCTCACAATAATCCTTCAGAAGTTCTCGTTTTACAGTCTAGGTAACCCCGACGATGTCCTCGCGAGAACCGGCGACACATCTGTTCCACGATAACGACCACAATCTTGAAAATTTCACTGTTGTTTGGCTCGACGCTGATATAGATAAAACAGATGATTGGCAAGACACAAAAAAGCGTTTAAAAACCATTGCTAATCATTTAAGAACGTTTTGTGATGCTAATGAATGTATTGGTTATATCTCATCAATTAAAATGGAGCCAGTGCTGCTAATTCTGTCTGGTTCATTCGGTGAAATCATTGCTCCTCTCATTTTCGAACTATCTCAAATTACATTTATCTACATATTTTGTCTAAACAAAATTAAGCACGAAACATGGGCTAATCATCAACTAAATAATCAAAATAAAATTCGTGGTGTTTTTACTCATAAAGACTCTCCCCTAGTGAAAGTACTCATACGATGAGTACGACTTTACTCATAATTCGTCCATGGGTACTCATATTGGTACTACTAACAATTTCTGAGTATTGTTACTCAGTGAGTACTCAGTTACTCATGTGAGTACTCAGGAAATATTCATT